GAGCGTTACTGCCAGTGTTTCCAAGAGCTTTCAGAATGCTCTCGTAGGCGAACAGTCCCTCCTTGACGAGGTAGGAATTTGCAGATGCAGAGGAACGTTCTGCAATTTCATTGGCAGGCGAAGCAGTAGCTAAGTGTCCAAGGACACTGGCTATGCCTACAGCAATGCGAAAGAAACGCATGGTGTTTGGTCTGCGAGATGGGTAGCACAGTAAATTTCTCGTGAGTTAGAGAACTGGGCAGGTAGATCCCCTTTTATTTTATTTTATTAGGGTGGTTTAAAATTCTAGCGCCATCACTAGGTGCAAATGATCAACTTGATCTCAGTGAATTATTCAATAAAAGTGGATGATCGCCTTGTTTGGATATACGCTAAAAGAAGGCTGGGATTCTAACCTGATAGAGGATTCATTTTACTCCAAGATATCAATGACGGGAGCTAGAAGAGATTTTAGTGGTCAGGGGGTCAACTGCATGCTATCCACACAGAATGAGACTTGATACTGTGCACTGGCTAGACGTGGAGAAGCCGAAGTTTATTTAACTACATTTTCTGGGGAACCTATTGTCTTAATAGCTGATTTGTCTATTTGGCTGAGGTTTTGCTACTAGTACAGGGGCCGGAGATTTATCGCTGATTATATAAATGTCTTGGTAACCAAATCACCTACTGTAAGTCTGTGATGTTATTTGTTAAGATTCAAGAGCCCAGTGGGGCCTCTCTTCAGACGTCTGCTCCTTGCCTGATTGGTACGCGGCAGGTTATGTACCCCACTATATAGATATCTTTACTCCTTCTATTCCTCCTTTATAGATAGTTATCTAATATAATTATCCCTTCAAATTTAGCTCTATAGTAAGCGACTAAGCGTAAAAGGTTATAAGCCCTTATTTTTCTCATTAGTAATCTCCTGGAAATAGCTCAGTGAGGAAGGCAGTTCATTACTATCTAAGTATAGTGCAGATTTCATTGTGAAGTTCAAACAAAACGGTAGGTTTGCTGCTCCCTGCCTTCTAGCATGATTCCGTGGAATGGCATATCCCTATTTTCAGAAATATTTGGAATTGCATCACGAGGAATTTCGCGGTGTTGGACGAACGTCCAGTAAAACCACGGAACAAAAATGGAGAGTGTCAGTGAAATAGCCGTCACCCAGTAAGTATACAGTGGCACCCCAGAAAATTGAGGAAGGGCAAATAGGGCCTATAACCACTAGTAATTAGTATATATTGTCAAGTTGCAATATATTAACGGAAGGAAGCTTACCGCAATGTACGTTGGCGGGAAAAATAGAAATGTAAGTATGTTGAGTGACTTTAATACAGAGCTGTCACGCTTTGCCCCTTCAGCAATTTCTTGTGATCGTCTAGCAACTGATAAAGCCAGCAAGCCATCCCTTTGAAATAAAAGGGTGTGAATCTATGGCAGATGATCAGGAGCAAAGCGATTCCACCTTGTCTTTGCATAACTTACCACAGTTATCTGATTCTCGGCCCGCTGCTCATAGTAGGCCAGATCAGTTTCGCGCTGCGCCAGTAACAACACGATATTATGAAGCCATTGCTCGTATTGGTTGATAGAGCGGGCAACCTGGGTGAAAGACCTGCTGATCGTATGCCTTAATTGGTTACGTGTCTCCTGGATGGACTTGAGATAGCACTGAAGGAAACTCAGGCGACGAAGGGAAATTGACACTTGTTGTTTCGTCGTGTGTGCCAGTTTCGAAAGCTCGTCATTGAGTGTAAGGGCTTCTGTTCCAGGAATCTCTAGCCATCCATGGTACCCGGTTGCTCTTTCAATCGTTCCCAATTCGCGGCGAATCTTTTCAACGTAGCGTAGGTTCGCAGCTAGGCTTGCTTCGAGCAAGACAGTAGGAACGAAAAGAGGTTGCCCGATCATATCTTTGTGAGATTCCTGGGCCTTCATAATAATGACTTGATCGCCAGGACTAGTTCGCAATCCCAGGATCAAACTAGTCTTGCTGTTGAATTCATGGTTGATGGCGAAAATGGAGGCGAAGCTAGTTGTGAGTCGAATAGAAACGATTAAAGCTGCAAGGATAGACAAGGTATGGATCTGAGCACCAGTTTCCAGGTAATTGGAGTATTTAACTCACTGATGGATTTGACTTCTCCAGTAACTTCGTCATATTCGATGTGCCGTGTCTCAAATCCAGCCGAGGCGCGATGCTCCCAGGCATCTATCACGCCACCAAACTTATAGCGTTGTTCAAGTATGGTGAAGATTTCCTCGCTGATGGCGAGTTCCAGTACTTCATTCGAAGACAGAATATCCCCATGGGTATCGGGAGCGGCTGAAATTGTACTCGCGAAGCTAGAGCGGTTGGTGTTATTAAGTGCTGAATGAACTGGTATGTGAGATTCTGGATATTTGGGTCATACATCCACTTCACAGTACCAATGAGGTTTGGCAGACGCGCAACGTCACCCTGCTCAAGTGAGGGCGAAGGAAAAGTTAGAATGAGAAGTCATATTAGTGGCAATAAGAAACATACCCTTTGGTCAAACCAACCATTAACAATTTCTTCACCTGTGATAGTGCCTTCATGAAATTCGCTCCGTCCGGACTGTGAATCGTCCCTGAATGAAAATTGGGAATAATAGCTTGATTGGATAGAACATACCTGGAAAAGTCGAAGCTCTGTAAATGTACAAGGCCTTGGATTGTAGTGAATATTTTGCAGTGCACCGGACTGGACCGTCGACTCCATTTCCATGGGATGTTAATCAGTTGGGTTGGGAACAGTCCACAAGGGTTGTCATCAGCTCTATACCTATGATCTTCTCCACCAGACTCTTCCTTGAGGCGAGTATTCCTGTCCTTATAAACAAAAATTCTGCAGCTGCATCCGGCAGGTATGGGCTCCGGGCCAATCAATAAGTGACGCGTCCTCCTGGCAAGGCTGGGTAAAAACCAAAACGAAGAGAGCAACACATTGGCATGGGGCTTGCAGTTATTGTCCGGTAACATCGGTCCGGGGTAGTCGGATTCGACAAAAGGCCAGATACTGGCAGTGAGACACCGGGCAAGAAAAAGCAAGAGTATATACACATGACATACTATTGCTTTTTCTAAGCCATTCAGATCTTTAAGAAAGCGCCAAAGGTTGCCTTGCTTATGATACGGACTGATGGAAAGCATATCAGCACAATCCATAATGGCGGTTGGTATCAAGCTTGGAGGAACGAAGAAAAGCAGAAGAAGATCACACGACTACATCTGCCTCTGGAGACGCCCGTTGCCATCTGCCTATCACTAACTAATGCTCAAGGTGGCGTCCTTTCTCTCATGTTCAAATCGAACAACCTGTCACTAATTGGTAGGAAAAGCTTTTGTCCAATAGACTGCATGTCCTTGGAACTCAAGCCAATCCACATTCGAAAGACTTTCGCCTGATCGACCCTCTAGGCGTGGAGACAACCTGGCTAAGCCTGCTTATTTCTGTTAGCTGGCTTTTCTCCCCTCCGATGAAAAGTCCACATTCACAAACTTCCGCGGCTCCACAGCCCAGGAAGGAGTCAAAGGACAGCACTGCGCCGGTGAAAACAACCTGCCATCTTTAACCCGTTCCTTGGCTTCTAGTGTTGAAGAGATCGCGTTTAAGTTTGGCATGTTCTGGTTTATCCCATTTATTGAGACAATACAAGGTCTGTGTAGCTGGAGCTTAAGATTTCTCTATTAATTATAAGATATTAAGTCGGTGAATGATGGTCCACTCCATGTCGTGCCCAAGGCTGCTGCAAAAGTTGAGATTGAGCTCAGTTGATGCCAAGCCACAATCAGAATGCTGATTCACCTACATGATGACCTGCAGTGCATCGCTCCTATTTGTTCACTGGACATACTGCGCCTAGTATAGTATACAATGAGGCATAAAAGTCTTGCGGGACCAAATATTAACTAATGACTAGTTCAGGGTTGCTGTTACTTCACAATGGATCAGTGACAGTTCTTAGAGGTTGGAACTTGGAACTGAAACTGGACTAAATGTAACTCTAGTTCTGTATAGCTTCAAACTGCTATTTCAGCCAAGAAATAATAGATAGAGAAGTTGAAAACTACTGTTTTGGGAGCATTATAGGCCTCCCTAGGAATTTTAGTTGTATAGTGGAAATGTAAGTTTTACTAGTGGCTATTGGCTAATGAGCTTTGCACTGTAGCTCCGCGCACATTGCTAATACGCGGAGAAAGCTGAAGTTTATTTGACTACGTCTCTGGGGAACTGGAGAACCAACTGTCTTTCTTAGGTGTGGTCTCGCTAGGGCCGATTAGGACCGAGTGGATATGTGAAGAACAGCATGCTGCCATATCCTTGGGTCGTGGTGGCTGGGATCGAGGATGAGAGGTAATCAGTGTCTTCCGTGTGGAAAGCACACCTTCTGAGCTTCGCAACATGTAAGCAAAAATCGATGTCAGAGTTTTCTTTATATCATATAGCGCACCTATGAAAGAGATGAAACCGGCGCAAATTGATTAGTTCAATATTATTCAATGAGGTAACGAGAGAAACAAATTAGGGAACCTTGAGAGACTATAGGGAGACTCAAGAGATGATACTAGAGGAGAGATATAGCAATGGATGAGTGGGAAGGTTTTGTACTAGTACAGGGGCCGGAAATTTATCTCTGATTATATGAATGTCATGGTTAGCAAATTACCTGCTGTGATGTTATTCGCACCTTTTTCTAACTGATAGTAAAAAGAAAATGGTTACTCTTGAGGTGCCAGCCTTCTTTTCAGCAGTTTAGAGGCTGTGCACTCAACCGCGGTGGCTGTGCCTGCATGGTCAGCCTGATGCGCTTTGGACATCCCTCAACTCTTCTTCCTACCAAATGCAAACAAGCCTCCCCTGAGAGTACTTGCCATAATCGCGTTTTGGCAGACACGTTTCTTCCATCCAGCAACACCTACTCATACCGTGTTTTCCCGCCGACTAAAATCGTGCCTGTCAGCCATAGCCCGATGAACATCTCGCCGAGATGGATGGGAGAAGTGTTCGGAATGAAGACGATACTGAGACAAGATTGTGTCAACCTCCAAAGCGACAAAAGACTGTCCACTATGACAGGTCATCCACCCAACGGCACGATCAATATACCATTGCCTGGATCTGTGCGTTGTACATAGAGATGGCAGCAGCTCGGGCCATGCTAGATGAGGTCCATGAAGCTCTACCCAGGCATGTAGAGGACAGCAACGCCTATGTACTGGGAAGCATCAAGCAACACAATCTCGTCATTGCGTGCTTGCCAGCAGCCCAATATGGAACGAACAACGCGGCGAACGTCATGACGAATATGAACCGAACCTTCCCCGCTATCCGCGTGGGCTTGCTGGTCGGGATTGGTGGCGGCGTGCCGAGCAAGGCTGATGTGCGCTTAGGTGATGTTGTTGTTGGAACAAGGGTGATGCAATATGATCTTGGGAAAGTCGTTGGCCATGGAGAGCTCCGACGAACGGCGATCCCTAGGATTCCTCACCATTCGCTTGGGACAGCTGTTTCCGCCCTCCGTTCGAGACATGAGCTGAACCCCAGTCGAGTCCCATCCATCCTACGGCTGAAGCTTGGAGGGCACCCTGAATACGGTCGCCCAAGCTCCCCGGACCGACTGTTCCACGCGACATATGAGCATGAATCTACAACGGCCAGTTGCGATGGGTGTGACCAGTTGAAGCTGGTTCCACGAAGCAGACGGATGTCGGACAATATAATGATTCATTACGGCGCGATCGCTTCAGGGAACCAAGTCATGAGAAGCAGCACTACCCGGGATAACATTGCTCGAGAATTGGATGTCATATGTTTTGAAATGGAGGCTGCTGGTCTGATGGACATACTCCCTTGTCTCCCAATTCGGGGAATATGTGATTACTCAGATTCTCACAAGAGCAAGGAATGGCAGAGGTATGCTGCAGCAACCGCGGCCGCGTACGCCAGGGAATTACTCGAGGACCTACCGGTGGCCAAAGGGCATGCAAAGACTCCCAGTATGCCAAATCCTCGTAAGTTTTAATTTAGTAGATCTGGGAAGAGTCATTGCTGCTCACATCTGACGTGCAGATGAACGTTCATTGCACGAACACCGGCAGCGTTTGCTGGGTTCCCTCGGGTTCAAGCAAATGGATTCTCGGAAATTAACTGTCAGAACCGCCCTCGCCAAAACATGCCAATGGTTTCTCAGCCACCCTGACTACAAAGCATGGCTTAATCCTGAAAACCTAACGCAACATCATGGCTTTCTGTGGATCAGTGGCAAGCCTGGCGCGGGCAAGTCGACAATCATGAAATTCGCATACTCGCGTATGAAGAGCAAATTCCACAACAAGCATGCTATCACTGCTTCCTTTTTCTTCAACGCTCGAGGCGAACGTCTGGAAAAGTCGATCTCAGGGATGTACCGATCATTGCTGCTCCAGCTGCTTGAAGGGTACCCTGATCTCCAGGCGGTTTTAGATGATCCTGATATTAATTCTCAGAGTCAGAATGGATGCCCTTCCTTGGACGTTCTTAAGGACCTCTTTCGCAGCGCAGTTTCCGCCCTCGGTCAACGCTCCTTTACGTGCTTCGTGGATGCTCTCGATGAGTGTGACGAACAACAAGTGGTGGACATGGTTCAATACTTTGAAGAGCTGGCAGAACAATGCACGAATAAAGGTGTCCTACTCCGGATCTGTTTCTCTAGTCGACATTATCCCTACATAGCTATTCAAAGGGGGGTCCGACTTACACTGGAGGACCAGTCAGGTCATGGCGAAGACCTGGCAACCTACGTCGCTAGCCGCCTCCAAATCGAAGATCCTGTACTTCTCGAAGACCTGCAAAATCAACTTCTCAGGAAAGCTGCGGGTGTTTTTATGTGGGTTGTGCTAGTCGTTAGTATCTTGAACAAGGAATATCGGCATAATGGGCTGGCTTTGAGAAAGCGACTCGCGGAAATACCTGGTGATTTGAGCGAGCTGTTCAAGGACATCCTGAGACGCGACAAGGAGAATATGGCGGGTCTCCGTCTTTGCATCCTTTGGATTCTCCTTGCAAAACGGCCATTGCAACCGCAGGAGTTCTACCATGCTCTCTGGTCTGGATTGGCGCTAGAAGACCAGGCTGATGAGCAAATCCCTGATGTCGGCGTCCCAGGTGCCTCAGACAGCCTCAACAGATTTAACAGATGTGTTATCAGCAACTCAAAAGGACTTGCTGAGGTCACAAAATCTGAGCAGCCAACTGTTCAATTCATTCATGAATCCGTCCGAGACTTCCTCGTCAAAGAAAGGGGACTACATGAATTGTGGCCTGAGCTTGGATTTGATTGGGAGAGCTCAAGCCATGAGACTCTCAAGAAATGTTGCGACTCATACTTGAATCATACCTCAGTGCGTGCGTCTGTGAGTAAGGTGCTGTCACACAGACATGAGCTGCAATCAGGCATTTCAAATGAGTACCCGTTTTTGGGGTATGCCAGTCAGCATGTTCTCTATCACGCCAACGCTGCGGCCGGAGCAGTTCCTCAAGACGAGTTCTTATCTTCCTTTCCCGTATCCCACTGGATCAACGTCAACAATCTTTTCGAAAAGTTCAAAATTCGTGGATACAGCTCAGATGCGAGCCTCTTCTACATTCTCGCGGACAAAGGATTCCCGGAGCTCATCCGCACGAGACTCAGAAAGGATCCGCATATTCATGTTTCCGGAGAGAGATACGGATACCCGCTGTTTGCCGCTTTGGCCAACGGTAACAAAGACGTTGTTGCTGCTGTTCTGAAAGCGCCGCCAAGTGCGTGCAGTGAAGTTGATACAGATGGTCTGAACTACAGGAAAGACTTGAAACAATACGCAAAACGAACACCACTATCCTGGGCTGCGCAGGAGGGTCGAATAAGCATTATCCAGCTGCTTCTCCAAACAGAGACATCTGTTGATGACATGGATGCGATGGGCAGAACACCACTTTCACGGGCCTCAGAGAACGGGCATGAGGCTGTGGCAGAGCTGCTTATCAGCAATGGAGCAGATGTCAATGCTGCCAGTTATGGAAGGACCCCACTCTTCCACGCCGTAGAGGAAGGCCATGGGGAGGTAGCAGAGCTGCTCATTAACAAGGGAGCATATGTTAATGCTGGCAAACATTATAGTTGGACCCCGCTCTACTGCGCCATACAGAAGGGTTATCAGAAGGTAGCAAAGCTACTTATTACCATGGGAGCAGATATCAATGGCTGTGATGATGATGGATCGACTCCACTATCACATGCCTCATCACGTGGCTATAAGGAGGTAGCAAAGCTGCTTATTGACAAGGGAGCAGATATCAATGCGAGTGCTAAGAATGGGCAGACTCCACTATTACAAGCCTCAATACATGGCCATGAGGAGGTAGCAAAGCTACTTATTGACATGGGAGCAGACGTCAATGTCTGTGATAAAGATGGATGGACTCCACTATCATATGCCTCAGTATATGGCCAAGCGGAGGTAGCAAAGCTGCTTATTAATAAGGGAGCAGATATCAATGTCCGTGATAAGGATGGACAGCCTCCACTATCACGCGCTACATTGAATGACCATGAGGTGGTAGCAAAGCTACTTATAGACATGGGAGCAGATGTCAATGTCTGTGATAATAATGGATGGACTCCACTATCACACGCCTTATCAAATGGCCGTGAGGTGGTAGCAAAGCAGCTTATTGCTAAAGGTGCAGATGTTGATTGCAACACCTATAACGGACTGAATGGGATACTTTCCTTAACAGCTCCGGGAGTACAAAAACGTCGTCGATCTGAAACTCCTGATGGGGTCAGCTCTGAGCCGGAAGCAGACCCAGAGGATTATGCCAGAAAGCGAACTCATTATGAGAGTGACTATGTTCCAAGTTTCCCCTCTGTGGGCCCGCACAGTTGAGCTCGGAACCTTTGGAGCTCCTTAAATTAGGTGGCCGAAAGAGCACTGAGCATATATCTTCGCAGCGGATTATTTATGCATTAAATACGCAGCAGTCGGCCACGTCAGGCGTCCCTTGCCAAGTTGAGCCCTCTGAGGACCACGGGCCAAACTGCACCCGCACCTCGTTGTGTCAGAGAATAGGACATTGAGGAAGACAAGAATTCTGAGAATATAAAATACCAAGCAAAGGCTTTAGCTAATTCAGTTATTTATTTAATATTCTCTTCACGAGCCTGGGGAGGGCGAGCAAAGGGGGTGAGAAGGAAGCTGATGGAGGTGAGTGAAGCTGGTGCTCAGGTGTATACCAGGAATAGTGATACAATTCTTTCACTGCTTGTAACTAGAATATGCTACCTTAGCTTCGGTGCACATCTTTTGCATCCTATTGTTGTCTTTGGCAGCGCCACAAAACGAGCAATGTGATCTGCCAGTCAGCCATACACATCAGCCCGTGATACTAATCAGGACAACGAGTCCACAGAATTTTCATAAAATCTGAAGTCGAAAATGCGGCCTGCTAATGAGACTGATACCTCGTAATTACAACCGGAATATGAGGACCTGTGGAATCAACACCGAAAATGACCTGGTCAAGGCCACAAGACTCACTATTGGGTAGGGTGTAGCTGCAGAAGCTGAAGAACGCTTTGCAGTGCAGTGCTACCGCAGTCCACAAAACAGGCATGGGTGCCTGCTAAGCATTTCCGCAGCCACAAGTAGCCACGGCCCATGGAGCATCGAGCACTAGGCGATGAAATTCTGGGGCGATTTTCCAAATCGGGGATGAGACGGCTGCTCTAGAACGTCTTTCGACCATGAGTCGTTTCAAGTAATCGGATCCCACTTATCTGGCTTTCTCTCTCGACGGGATTGGAAACTTCTTATAGAGACAACATGTAGCCGCTGGAGATACGGCCCAACACTCCGCAAGGGCTTCTCCCTAGCACGTTCACAATACGGGTATATGCACCGGCATTATAAAGCAACAATGATGTGGCTATTGAAGTCTACGAAATTTTTCTAGCTGCGTGTTTATCGTTCTCCTGGACAATTTGAATTATTATTAACTATTTTGAGCCAATTCCCACCGCTATATCGTTTTCAAGTTGCTACCTGCGGGCGTAAATCTGTGCAGCGACCATAGGCTACACAATGCCTGACCTAACTTCCACTTTCTACCCTCGCATGACAAAGAGACCACCGTTTACTTGGAAGTTCCAGATGCCATTGATAATACATGTGAGGCACGTCCTCGTCGCTCCCCTACAGCAGCAAATATGTTTACTTTCCGCCCCTACAGATGACGTGAAAACAACGTATGACATGTTCCGCCGGGCTGCGCGAAAGTTTTCACATGCAAAAGCTGCAGGTACCCGCCGGATTATGGGGAGTTACAAGGAGAGATCTGTGGTCAAAAAGACGGTTGAAGGTGTTGAGAAATGCATGCCGAAAATATGGACGCGCTATGAGCTCAGCGGCTATACATACTTGTCTTTCTTGGAGTACGAAAGCCTTGCCCTTGATCTGGGTTGTGGATTGAGGAGGCTCGGTCTCGGAAAGGGCAGCAAAGTCCATCTCTATGGTGCAACGAGGTAAGGCCATCACTTCCGTGCTCAACCTCAGGTGAGCAGATTCAAGATCTCCTACTTATGGCGCAGTCTGCATTGGTTAGCAATGTCACACGGTGAGATACTGCTAAATCAACGTACGATAGAATATTCAAAGGAGCCGCGTCGCACTCGATTGCTGTTGTAACTGCGTATGATTCTTAGGTGAACAAGGACTACAGCATTCAATCAACGAAACTGAGAGCACGGCAATCTTTATAGACTCTCAGATCATGCCATCCTTGATAGGAGTCTTGAGCCATGCCCAATCTTTGCCCCACATCATATATAACAACACTGCGACAAAGCTAGACAGCGAAATCTTGAAGCAGGTACAGTCTGATTTTCCGCATATTATGGTCATCGGCTTCGACGAGCTCCGCAGGTCAGGAACTGAGTGTCCCACTGAGCCTACACCACCGGGCAAAGATGACCTATGTGGTATAATGTACACCTCAGGGTCAATGGGTCCCTCGAAGGGCGTGTCCTTAACACACGGTATGATAGTGGCAGCAGGTAAGCTTTAGTGATTCTCTCCATGCTTCAGATCCTGCTTACCATAGCTTTGCTTATGTTCTTTGGCAGTCGCGGGTATGGACGCAGTCGTGGGGAACCACATTAGTCCAAAGGACGCAATATGGACGTACCTCCCTCAAGCACACATTATCGAGTTCGTCTTTGAGAATATGTGCCTGTACTGGGGTTGCACTATGGGAAACGGTAGCCCTAGAACGCTCTCTAACGCTTCAGTCTGGAATTGCAAGGGAGATATTTGCGAGGTCCGACCCACGAGTCTCGTCGGCGTACCTGCCGTGTGGGAATCAATCAAGAAGGGGATTACAGGGGTTGTCGCCGCCAAAGGTTGGCTCAGCAGTTCCCTCTTCTGGGGATCTCTCCGGATAAAATCCTGGCTCCTTGACCATTCTTTTCCTGGCATTAGTCTCCTTGACTCCCTGGTTTTCAAGACGGTGAAAGAGGCCGCTGGTGGGCGACTGAGAATCATAACGAACGGCGGCGGGCCAATCTCTAGAGACACTCAGATATTTCTCTCCTTGGCGATTGCTCATTTGATAAATGGGTACGGACAGACAGAGACATGCGGTGTGGGTGCAATCAATGATCCACTAGCATGGGATCCCAATGCGGTTGGCGAGCTTCCGGCTTCTGTCGAAATCAAGCTAGTGGACGTCCCTGAAAGTGGCTACTCAACGAAACATGATCCTCCTCAAGAAGAGATCCTGATTCGCGGCCCAAGTGTAGCAACTGGGTATCACAAAAACGAGCTGGAGACCAAGGAAGCTTTCACAACAGACCAGTAGTTCCAAACTAGCAATATTGGAGAGCGGGACCAGAACGGGCACCTAAGAATCATTAACCACAAGAAGAATCTATTCAGGCCTTCCCGCCATGCATTCGCTGTCCAACCGAGAAGCGTGGCATGTCAGGACATTTTGAACCGGTTCTATCAGGGAACCTAGGTCCTTGGTGCACTTCTTCTGTATGTAATATTCCGGCATTGTTATGCAGTATCCTCGACCGTACGCCATTTGAAAAACTCCCAACTGCGGGATTTTGCCCACCCAGCAGATAGTGGATCATTAATATCTAATACACCTCTATAAGTAGGGAGCTGTAGATAGCTTTATTAGACCTTTTAAGGGTAACGTAGTTCTCAAGCATTCGCTAACGTATCGACCTTGGAAATACCATCATGAAAACTGAGAGAATATGAACTATGAGTGTACAGGGGAGGTTTTTCAGCGTTTTCAGTGTGCTGGTTCGGCGTGGACGATCGTCAGAGCCAGAAATCGCCCAAGGAGAATAGTAGAGGAACTTACGCAGTACTTGACCGCAAAAGCTGTTGAGGTGAACGGTAAGTCCCCAATTAGTCGCCACCAGGTACATTATTATGCATCTTGATGGAATTTGTACACATAAATCAATCATATGCATCAGGGACAAAACACAGATCGTCTTCATCCCAATACTCAGCTAACATGCATAGTGTCCAGGTCGGAACTAGCACAATCGGGTCCCGCGAAGATGTGCTGAGTGCTGACCCACAAAAGGGCGCATGGCCCATGGATGATCAAAGATCGGATCACATTCACATGTCGTAGCCACATTGGCTAGCCGAGCCGGGTCAATTCCCCGTAAATCTAAGCCGAACTCGGCTCGGCTACAAGCCTACAACGTAAATGGGCGTAAGCTGGCGCAAAAGTTGTTGCTTGAACCGGGCACGTAGATAGTGGCAGACCGCGAGCTTGGTATGGAGCAGGTAACGCGCTGAGAGCCTAACGGTCTTCGGCAAACTGTATAATCTATAAGCATTGGTCCTTTCTCATGCCATATGTTTTGTTACTCGAGTGGAAGGCAATCCGCCGAAAAATCAACATTATCGTCCTACCTCTCACACAATGCACGGCGAGACGCACCAAGTCATGATGGGCTTGTTTGATACCTCCCTCTCCGAAATTTTAGCGTCTTTCAATTTATGGAAAGTCGCGACCATCGTTTTGCTGGCGATGAATGTGAAATGCCTCCCTTTCGTGTGGCATGTAGGTCGCCTTCCCTAGGACATTGAGAATCACAGCTATTGACTGCGTGCTAGTATCGCATCTTTAAGCCCCTGGTGAGAGCCGCGTGGCGAAGACTTGGCTCTGGCCCTCAGTCAGCGGTGATCCCTGACTCCAAGACGCCGACGGTGTTCCTGCCTTCTATAACCAGCACCTACGCTCCCTTATTTGAATGCGACTACAACCTGCACAAGTCAAACAGTACATACTTCACTGACTTAGATGCGAGCCGATCATATCTTCTCTCTGCCCTCTGTTATGACGGGTTGGTCACGGTTGACCGCGAACTAGCCGCCGAGGGAAAGAAGGACATGTTGGCTGCTATTATCGGGTCAGTCACCACTAGCTTCAAGAAAGAGATCCGGATCTTCCAGGAGTACGAGGTGTGGTCCAGGATTCTTACGTGGGATCGAAAATGGCTCTATATTGTGACCCATTTCGTCCAGAAAGGCTCAGTGAAACCGGCAGGCTATTTAACCGAGAAATCCACGCGCCTTGACTCGAACAGCTCCATCGGAGAATCCAAATGCGGCTCTAGCCAACCGGTTATTTTTGCTACATCGATTTCCAAATATGTGTTTAAGAAAGGGAGGCTCACTATCTCTCCGGAACGAATTTTGAGAGCTTCCGGCCTCCTGGGACAGGATAAGAAGGGAGAAGAGAAACGCGGGGTTCGACCTACCGATGTTCAAGGACGTACAAGCGACTCGGGCGTTCCTGAAGACATTGAGTCGGAACGCCTCAAGGGTATGATATACGCTGAATCCTGGAACCAATTGGACCCCCTCCACGAAGAACTACTCAAGCCAGATGAGTTGATCAACGGGGTACTAGCTATAAATCATGTTGGAGACATCTCGCTCCCATGGAAACGATTTCCAAGAGCCTAGGAGTAGGGGTCTTAGAGCAGTTATGATTACCAGTGTCGGCCAACTAGGGGGATGCCTCCCGCTTTGTGTATTGCATGACCAGGATAAGGTCTTGACGCGGAATCATGAAACTTTTTTACGTCTTAGTATGCAGAATAAAAGCAAATACAATCCAGAAACTAATGCTCCGTACCATTTGGCAGAGACAAAGAAGAATGAACCTACGGTCAGGGTCGCCACTCAAAGCTGTAATTGAGGAGTCATTGGTGCAGTATCCACGCTTGTGGGGGTCAGCCCTTGTCCCACAAATATAATGATTTCCGTCCCCCATCGTACTAAAGGTGGTGATCATCGCTGCTCACTGTAGAACCTTTGGTCTTCGTCATTAATTAGCCCAACTACCAGGCGTCATGTATCCATCGAATCTGGCTCGTCATCTTGACCCCCAGGAGCAAAATATCCTGGAGCAGCGAGGCGTCTTTGACCTTTCGGATAGGTCAATGTGTGATACCCTTGTGGAGACTTTTTCACCTGGGTTGCGCCCATCGTACCCATCATAGACCGGCTCGATTTCCTATGCCACTACCAGGATCCAATCTCGCCTCCTTCACTTCTCTTGCTACATGCCATGTTCACCGTCGCTTCAAGGCCTTGTTCATCTGGAAGTCAGGACACTGGGGGGTTGTCTCCACGGAGTTTCTACAAGAAGGCAAAAGCCTTGTACGATGCAGGCTACGAACAAGATCCAATCCCGCTCTTCCAGTCAACGCTATTGCTAGGCCTATACTGGGAGGGGCCCGAAGGTACTTAGGCACACTGGCCTTCTGTTTGGTTAGCTAACAGCTTCTGCTAGATATCACTGAGAATGGTCTATTCTACTGGAGCCGTTTGAGTATTGCTCTAGCCCAGGCCCAAGGGCTGCACCTTAGGTTAGAAACTCTCAAGCGGTTCCTACCTAGTGTCTGCATCTTACTGAATTTATGATATTTGGACAGTGAGAGAATTGCGTCTTATAGTCGGTCAACACAAAGGCTGCTAAGGCGCATATGGTGGGCGCTCTATACGCGTGATCGTGCCGTAGCAGCAGCTTTTGGCCGGCCAACGCATGTAGACTTGGACGATTGTACCATTGAATCGCTAACTCTACAGGACTTCGAGGGAGGAATTGACTGCTCTGATAGGCTCCATGTCGATGCAGACGGAAATGCTCTCCTTTTCATAGAATACGTGAAACTATGGCGTATTCTGGACAAAATCCCATCGCAAGTAAATTCTTCAAGTCCTACGCTCGAGGGTCAGATCCGCCACACAGCGCAAGAGTTACATGCATGGTACATCTCTTGTCCTTCAAAAATGCACTGGAGACCCTCCTGTCATAAGTTCCTGCCATCTCTTCTCTGCTCGAGCTACTAGTAGGTTCTCTTGCATGCATATTCGCGGCGGCTCGAGTTGACTGGTCCTCTGTAGCGCTGCTATATGTAGCATTCAGCTGCCATGTCTCCCAGAAATGTCAGAAGAGTCTAAAATATCTTGCTTGAACGCTGCGACTATGATTGTGTCTGTACTCGAGACACTACACTCTTATCGGCAACTGCAATACACTCCAACATTTGTGCGAGTCACGCGATCACGGATCTAGACCCTCGACTACTCATGACTAGATGACTGATCCACAAATTAGTATTTGGCATGCACTTCTCTCGTACGTGTCCTTCAAGGTCCGGCTAACAAGCCGGTCTCCGTTACTATTGTACACGTTAGGAAGGAGTATGGACACGCTGATCCAACTTCTGCGAGAATTGTCCTTGGTCTGGCCTATTGCTACGCCTGTGGTGGAGCTTTTGCAAACTGCTACGTCAAATGATCGATTCTCTGAGGTCATGAAAAAAGCTCGTGCCAGGCGTCAACAGCAGGCAAATAGTGATTCGATTCTTGTGGCAGAACAGCCGAGGCATACGCCGTTTAGGAGACCTACGCCGAAACATATCTTTCTTCCCCGCAGTCGCATCGTTGTACGTTCCATGGTTTCTGGAGTCCTGAGTCACACGGTGTATAAGGAAACGAAAGCGAACCCTGCTGAAGATACGGCGCAGTCGATTGAACCAGATAGCAGAGGTCGTACAGAACCTCTATATTTTGACCAACCTGGCCTTAACTGTGATCCAGGAAATATTGTACAGATTCTTCATCAATATGTCAGACTCGGGAAGTCTCTTGAGAACGGAACTGACTCTTAGCGTTATACCCTGCCCCTCTCACCGTTGACAGCGCTGGGTATTTTCCACAGCCAGATGTTTCATGTTCAGGTAGATCATGTATACCAGATATAACCAACTTGCACCCGGACATGACTATCCTCATTGGTTAGATCTTGGGCTGTCTTGGGTGGGAGCGTTCCCGTTTGGTCGAACCAGCGTCCGGCTGGTCATTGCCCGTACGATCTGTCGAATAATTTTGCTCCTCCATTGAGTCCAATGCACGGATTGCCTTGCGGCTCGACCTTATTTTGCTTTCACGGTAGGCCGGGACATTTGTAACCCTCAGTAATTCCTGATCCTTGATGAACTTGAATATCTCATTGACATTCCCGATTCTGTCAACCAGCCCACGCTTAATAGCCTCGCGGGCATACAAAGGCTTTTCGTTAGTGAGCCGGGATGAACCTACCGTAGAGCACGGTAAGACGGCTTTCAAAAGGTTTAGTCGAGGAGCAAGATCCACAGCGAACGGTCCTTGACATATGCCCAGCGAAGAGTCAGCCCTGTCCTGAATGCGAAAGTCATGACAAAGTGCAAGAAGAAATCCGATTCCAACCGCATGCCCAGTGATAAATGCAATTGTAGGCATGGGATATCTAGTCCCCCTATTAGTTCG